ACCAGCCCAGAAAATATTTGTCCTGACACCTTTTTTCTAATATCTTCTCACTGTGTGTGTGTTCCTTGGTTTATGTGGCAGAATGGGACAGGAGACTCAAATGATTTCTGGCGGATTGAGGTTGTAAACAGAAAATTTGGGAACCGGATCAAAGTGCTAAGAAGTCGAATTCGCCTCATCCATATGGTTACAGGTTGTGTCCTTGGTTCCTCAGGAAAAATTCTGCCCAAGTGGTAAGTTTCTGGGTTCCGATGTTGTCGTGGAGCGTGCACTTTCCCTTTCATGCTACAAGAGACATCACAGAGGCTTCCCATCTCCAATAGTCAGTGCGCCTCATGTTTGCTTTTTCTTGGTAGAAGAAGAAAAGATACCAGGTATATTATGAAGCACAGAACTCCAGGGCCATTTTGGAGTTTATGTGTTCTGATAGCTTTGTGTTTATACTTCCAGCTTATGATAATTATTCTCCATCTTTCTCTTTGTAAGGAAATGAGACTAGACCCCTCCTTGGATAGCTGTGGAATATGAAAGACAGGTTGAAACAATAATGACCACTCACTTAAAAATGTGGGTTCGCCAGGTTGAAGAGCAGTAGACAGTGCCATTTTTGCACTGGGGGTAGGGGATCCAAGTCTCCTCAGAGACATTTGTGACTAATTTTCACAGGGGCTGGGAGCAGTTGGAAGTTACTTGTACTCCATACCTGAAACAAACACTCAACTCCATCTGGAATGTGGAGGACCATATCAATCCCAAGTGTGAGTGAGGGCTGGCTTTGAAGGGAAATCTTTATAAATAAAGAAAAACCAAACTCTTCCTGTAGAAAAATAAACCTTTACAGATTCTGCTGCCGTTTCACCTTCCTGCCCTTTCTTCCTTTTTCACAGCACTAAGAGTGTGTACTTATTTATTTTTTTAATTTTTTTTGTGTGGTACCAGGGATCTAACTCAAGATCTTGCACTTGTCAGGCAGGTGTTTAAACCACTCAGTTATCTCCCGGCCCTTGTACTTACTTTAGTAGCTCATTTTTCTTCTCATCCGTTGCCTTCATCAGTTTCTCTCTCTGGAACTCCCAGTGACCTCCTGCAGGTCCGTTTGTCTCATCTGCCTCTGTCTTTTCGCCCTCTGAGCTCTCATGTCACCGCACCATGAACACCTCTGTGCCCTCCGTGCCCTTTACTGTGGCAGTCTCTGCCTGCCATGGCTCTGCTGAGCTCCTCGTGCAATCCAGCCATTCCCTGAACCAAAGGCTGCACCACAGTTCTGATCTCAGCCTACGCCTTTGCTCCCAGGCCGCATTTGATAGTTCCACTTTAGTGTCAGCTCATCTCACTTTGTCTTTGGATTCATTCATTTGCACTTGATTTTTCCTCTCTGCTTTCATTTCATTCTTTTTACTAGCTAATCTAGCCAAACCAACTCCTTAACTCCTTACTGAGTTCACCAGGCACTGTGTGGATCCTGTGTCCTCATGCACCTTGTGCCTAACAGGAGGCCAGCATCTGAGCTGGTGCCATAGCAGAGTGATGGTGCCAGGGTGGAGCTCCATGGGGGGCAGGGGGGGCTGTTGCCCTTATTTTTTGTGTTTCTGAGAATGGCCACAAGTGCTCAGTGTAAGCTAACAAAGTGATCCCCAACACTGTCAGCTATCTACTTATCACCTTGTCTGCTCCATTTAGACTGTGGTAGGTGTGGACAGACCCTGAAGAAAGAAAATGTGACAAAGCCTCTCTCGTTTTTGTTTTCTGTTTGTCTTTCCCTAGTGCCAAACATCAGTCTGGATGTGCTGCAGCCCAGTTTTCCTGAAATCTTGCTGGAGTCCCACATGGTCATGATCCGGGTACTGTGGCCTCTTCTTATGTGGCTTCTCTTTATTCTTTTTTTTTTGGTGGAACAGGGGCTTATGTGGCTTCTCTTAAGAGTTTTTTGTTTTTTGTTTTTTTTAATTTTTATTTGTGTGTGTGTGTGTGTGTGTGTGTGTGTGTGGCCAGCTCAGCCCACCAGGGGGCGGGGCTGGCTGGCATGTGGTGCTGGGGGATTGAACCGCGGTCCCTGTGCTTTGCTAAGCTTGTTCTAAGTAGGCGCTTTAGACCACTGAGCCATCTCACCAGCCCCTTAAGAGTTTTTTGTTTTTTTTTTTTTTTTTTTTGGCAGCCATTGATTTGAAGCACAAATCTGGTAGCTGTAGTATAGATCCACTGCCCCCTTGTGGAGGACCTTGAAAGTGTCTTCACCTACTGATTTACTTGATTTTCATAAGCATTTTCTTTATCACAAAATGCAGGGGTAGAGGCTGGGAGAGTGTTAAACCATGATAGCAGTGAACACTTGTGTAGCTAGGTACTACTCTAAGCACTATGTATATGTAATATTTATCCTGTGCTGATTATTGTCATTCCCAGTGTATTGATAGGGGAACTGAGGCACAGAGGGATTAAGGAATTGTCCAGGGTCACACAATAATGTATAAAATGTGGTTCCAGGCTTTGGAACCAGGCTAGTAGGCTTTCAGAGCCAAGGCCAGTTATGATGACACCATTTTACCTCTAAGTGGTTTTTCAAATCTGTTTTGAGTGCCAGAGCCCCTGAAAATTTTAGTGTTCTTGGCTGAAGATCACAGGACATTGGTAGTTCATTCTAGCATGTGAACTCAGGACTAGTTAGGACAGCTAGCTGATATGAGTGTGTTGTTTGTCTTCCAGCCCAACCATATGCGTGAGCTCACTCATATTCCAGGATAGGAACTAGTGAGAGAGCATGGTTAATTCTTGCTCATATCCTCAGCCTCATTGCTTGAACTCTGTCACTGGTAGCAGACAGCATTTGTAGCATCAAAGGCTTAAGGAAAGTGAGGAAGGAAATCTTTAGACTGAGGAAATTCTCCCTACTAGTTTAAATTTCCACCTGAAAACTGAGCAAATCTTGCTCTAGTTCTGATGCTGCACGGGCAGCCCCTTGCTCTCTCCTGGGGAAAGCAGAGGACTATAGGAGTGATGGTGAAGAGACCCTGGGTCTCAAGCCAAATGGGTGCTAGCCGCCCCCCACAGGGCTGCAGGGAAGCTTGGCAGGTGTTACTTTTTCCCTGTGAGCCACTGTCAAGTGCACTCTCCTCAAAGTGATTATGTAAGCAGCACTCTGTAAATGCGGTCAACTTTCTTCACCAGATTAAACTTTAAAAATTCAGATTTTTGTCATTTTTGCACATCGGGAGGTGATGAGTTGACATTAAGCAATCTCTGGGTCACTTCCTCTCTGACTCTGTGCTTGTAGCTGTCACTGTGGCCTGATGACATTGCTCTTTTGAATATGTGCCTGTCAGTCAGAATATCAGTCTGGGTCTGGGTAGAATTTTAAGACAAGTGAGTAAGTCTAAAGAGTTTCATTTCTTCTTTCATTATCTAAGAGACAAAGATGAAGAAGCAAAGGGATGTAAAGGTACTTTCTTATTCAAGGAAGGGAGAAAAACCAAAATAGTGACCTAGACTAGGAACTTGAGTGAGGGGTTGGGGTGTGTGTCTGTGTCTGTGTCTGTGTCTGTGTCTGTCTTTTGCCAGCTGGAAACTGAATGGGGAAGGTGACAACACTCCCCACTGTAGGAATTTTGACCTGATTGGAGCAACGCAACTGTATGAAAGCTGGCAAACTATTCCCAAGCCCTCAGTGAGTTGTGTTAGTAAGGCACCAGGTGACAGTTCATTGAACCAGACCTTTTGGATTTTTCTTGAGCTATACCATTGCTTATCAGTTGAGAGCAATTTTGCCTCCTCCCAGGGAGCATCTCACAGTGTCTGGAGGGCTTTTGACTGGCAGAACTGAGGAGTGGAACATGGGGGTGACACTGGTATCCAGTGAGTAGAGACCAGGGATGTTAAATAGACACTACACAGGAGAGCCCCATGACAGTCTTATCCAGCCCCAAATGTCAGTAGTGGCAAGGCTGGGAAACTCTCACTGACCCAGGCTGCTGCCTCTTGTGGGAATGCTTTCTGAAGTTTGTGCTGACAGTTAGCTGGCCAGGTCCTGATGGCTGGGGTCTGGGGTTCTGAGCCTGTTCCTCCAGTTTTAACAAAGTCCTATTTTTGCCATGGAAAGACTAGTTAGTAGATAGCCTCAACTGCTGGATAAGGAGTACTGAGTTCAGGTTTTTCTGTTTAAAGGGTTGTATTTAGAGTGACTTCATGTACTTTTCTCCAAGGACATGAAATGAATTCTTGGAGGATAGAAACAAAAATTTAAAAACTACCTTTTCTATAAAACACAGGTCTTATCCAATACATGAGGAGATATATATAGTGTGGCCATGTTATTCAGATGATGTAGAAGGCATTTAGAGAAAATGTCACAAGAGGCTTTTGGCAAGAAGGCAATAATAGGAAAAAGAAAAAAAAAAAGTTTAAGAACACTAAAGGGCAAGCAAGATAGCTCAGCAGACTAAGCACCTGCTTAGGAAAGTGCAGGGACTGGAGTTCAGTCCCCGGCACCACATGCCATACTGACCCCACCTCTGGGCGCACTGAGCCAACTCACTGAGTCTGAGACCAAGATCAGGCGTGGTGGCGCACACCTGTAATCCCAGCACTGGGGAGGCTGAAAACAAGAGGATCACTAGGAGTCTGAGCTGCGTAGTGAGACCCTGTACCAAATACATTTAAAATAAAACACTAGGCTAAGATAACTTTTTCCAAGTCAAGGTGCTTCTCAGAATCTTTGTTTATCTATTTGATTTTTTGGTTTTATGGGGGCTTTTTGTTTCGGTCTTTTTGAGATAGGGTCTTGCTGTGTAACCCCGGCTGTCCTCCCACTTCTGCTTCCTGAGTGCTGTGATTACAGGCATGCGTCACCATGGCCAGCCCCAGGTTTTCTGTTTGAAATTAGGTAAAGAAGCTCTGATCTTTATATTCCCTAGCGTCTGGGTGTTTTGTCCCTGGCTTGGCAGATGAATGTGTATTCTGTGCCTAGTGCAAACAAGTCCTTCATTCCTCTTTCTCTTTTTTTTTCCTCTAGCAGAACTGGTCTGAATGAACTGATGGGAAGTAGAGGCTTGTGTTTGAGGGAAGCAGTTATTGTAGCCTAATGAACAATAGCTGTGAAGGAGTACCTGATTCTTCCCTGCAAAGGAGGGAGAGGAGCGTGTTTCCTCTTGACCCTTGGCTGAATAGTAGAGATGCCTGAGCCTCACATTCTGTCAGGCTCTAGCTCTGTCTTGATTAGCTTTTCTTTACTGCCTTCCTGCAGGGGAATAATGGCCTTAAGCCCAAGGACAATGACTTCACATCCAAACCCTGGCACTGGCCAATCAACTACCAGGTAGGACCAGAGGCTAGAGCACCTCCCAGAAAATGGAGTCAAAATCCTGGGGACAGAGTGGGCCAGAGGTGGTTAGGAGGCCTCACCTGGTGTGGGCTGGCCAGAGACCGGACTCTGTTTGCTACCATGATGCCAACTCCATGCTCCTAGAGAGTGCTGAAGAATTGGCACGTTCTGAGCCTCCTGTCCAGGCCTGCCTTTCTGTGAAAGAAGTATGGTCTTCCTGTCATTTGAGGAAGGCACAGGATCCTCAGTGTCCTCTGCTCCACAGGGCCTGCGCTTCTCGGGGGCCAATGGCACTGACTTCCGAGTCTACCTGCTCGGCAACCCGGTGAGTGTTGTGTATCCCTGCTCAGCACATGAGCACTGGTCTAGGGAGGGAGAGCTGCCGCTTTCCTCTCATCATCCTGCTCGCCTCTCCATGTAGGTGGTTTGGTGGTTGAACCTGGTGAGCATTGCGCTCTACCTCGTCTCAGGAGGTGTTGCTGCCATCGCCATGCAGAGAGGCGCACAGCTGTCCACAGAAGTGGAAGGTCAGCTCCCCTGCACTCTGCCTGCCCGGCTTCCGGTGGGGGTGCCAGTTCTGAGGCCCTGCTGCAGAGGGGCTCCCTTGCTTTTCCTACCCCATACTTCCCTGCCTCTGTGCCTTTCAAAGCCACAATCAGCAGGTACTCACTGCTGTTCTTGACACTTTACACACTTCCAGCAGCCTTGTGGAGGAGAGGAGTATACACCCACTGTATGGATTAGGAAACTGAGACACAATGAAATTAAAGAATTTGTCCTAGAATTTGTAGCTAGTGATAGTGATGAGGAGGAAACCCAAGCAGTCTGACTTCAGAGCCTTCTTTTCCCTTGTGCCATAAGGAGAACTGCCCAGCTTCTTTCATTGTCCTTTTTTCTTTTTTTTTCCTTTCCCTTTTCCCTTTCCTTTCTTTTCTTTGTTCTTTTCCTTTGCTTTCCATTCTTTTCTTCTTTTCCCCTTTCTTTTTCTTTCTCTTGGGTTTTTTGTTTGCTTGTTTTTGAGACAGGGTCTCACTTGCAGCCCAGCCCAGCCTGGCCTCATACTCACGGCGATTTTCCCGTCAGCCTCCTGGGTGCTGGGATTGCAGGCGAGCACCACCACGCCTAGTTTCACTGTCCCTCCTGCCTCTAGGGGTTGCAATGGTTTCCATTCAGGTGGTAACCCTAGTTTCTTTAGCTTCTGAGTGAACCATGGCATCTGAGTGCTCCCCACAGGCCCTTTTGCCCTGGCAGCTCTGTATGTGAATAGAGTACCAGGCACACAGCCCTTCTCTCCATCCTCCTCTGGCTTCACCTCTGCCCATCTGCACAGTGGAGGTCTGTGGCAACAGAGATGGGAGAGGTAGAAGTAGAAAGGGCAGTTATCTGGAGGGGTGTGGCATTATGGTTTCTTTAGGGCCTGGTTACCTCCTACCCAGACAGCAGCCCCAGGCCCTCTGCTGATACGTGGTGCTGAGACCTTTCCAGACTAAGAAGTGACCAAGAGGGGCCGGGGAGATGGCTCAGTGGAATAAGCGCTTCCCTGGCAAGCGCAAGGGCCTGAGTTCGATCCCCAGTTCCGCAAAAAAAAAAAAAAAAAAAAGAAGAAGTGACCAAGAGTGCTGAGAGACCCAGTTACTCCTCTTCTTTAGCTATCCTGAGTTTGTTTGAGTTGGACCCATGAGGGAAGGGAGGACTACCCACAGCAAGGAAGGGACAGGGCTAGATTGAAAACTAGCTCAGGCCTCCCTGCTTTCTAACTGAGCTGTGCTGCTTTTTGGCCCAGGGTTGACCCGGATCCTGCTGCAAGGAGGTGGCCAGGTGCTGCTGGGCTGGATGCTACATTACTTCCCGTTCTTCCTGATGGGCCGGATCCTCTACTTCCACCACTACTTCCCGGCCATGCTCTTCTCCAGCATGCTGACAGGTCAGCCCTTCCCGCCTGCACATGGGAGAGACAGCCAGAGACATGCGGGATGGGAGAGGAGGAGGAGGCTGCCTTGGAGCAGCAGGGCTGAGAGTGAGACTCTGCTTTCTGAAGTGGGTTGGCTCCTTCCTGCTGTACCTACAGGATCTGTCTGACAGACTGGTACTAGATGTGTCTTCTGTCCACTAGGTATTCTGTGGGACACGCTCTTGCGGCTCTGTGCTGGGAGCCTGGCCTCCACTTCCCTGGCCAGGGGCATACATGCAGTGGGAATCCTGAGCCTGCTCCTGGGAACTGCCTACAGGTGTGCATCCCCTCAATGGCCCTCCAGCAGGGGCTCACTGGTGCTTTAGCCTCAGATACATTTGTCCCAGTACTTGGGCCCCATCCATAGAGGTTCTGATTCAGTTGGGCTGGGGTGGGGCTCAGTCAGTCATGATTTTCAAGGCCCTCCCAGTGACCCAAATTTGTAATCAGGAACCAGGTAGAAGGAGCAATTGGATCACTTTGCATCTGCTGTCCCAGGTTCTCAGCTTTGGCTGGAAGGGTCTACCTGGAAGGCTACTACTTTACAGTCACAGTGGCTCCCTACTAGGATTCAGTGGGGTGAGAGAGGTTAGGAGGGAGGAGTGAGAAAAGGGGTGTAGGTGCAATATTCACAATTGCTGGAAGAAGACAGATGTTTGAAAAGTCTGTGCCCCTCACCTCCAGCCCCCTCCCTATGTGGCAAGGCTCATGGATCCTGTTGAGAGTTGCTGCTCCTTGTGGTGGGGCCTGTGATCTGCAACCATGTGCCTCCCAAAGAGGGTTAAATTTGCATGTTTACAAACACTGGGCCTTGCAGGCCAAGGCCAGACCCCTACACAGGCCCCACTCCTAGGTGTGTTGGGAGGAGCCCTTACCTTCCTTGCTGTTGAGGCAGCTTTTCCTAAGCTCTTGGACCAGACTGTGGCTACAGGGTGAGCTCAGATGGCCAAGGCGCTGACAGAGAAGAGGGCTTTGGGGTGGGGACTGTCGGATGGGCGCCCAGCTGCAGCACTGAGTGCCCAGTGCCTCCCTCTGGTTCTTTCTTACAGCTTCTACCTCTTTCACCCCCTGGCTTATGGGATGATTGGTCCTCTGGCCCAGGACCCCAAAAGTCCAATGGCAGGACTAAGGTGGCTGGAATCGTGGGAATTTTGAGACTACTACAGAGACCCCCCACCCAGGTCCAGGAATTGCCTGGGATAGCCAGCTCTGCAGCTTCTGGAACCTGAAGAATTCTGCCGCTGCTAGCACTAGGCTCCAGGAGCAAATCTGGATTTGACCCAGCAATACAGAGCCAAGGCTCTGTCTGCAACACCTCCAGAGATTCTCTCTACCTGGTTCCCCAGGTGTGCAACCCAGGAGAACACGAGTGTGCGAGAGGGTGGCTGAGAGTGTGGGAGAGTATATGAGGTTACCATTGTCAATCTCTTCGGACTACAGACCTTGTGACTGACTGTAAATGGCCAAGTGTCATAAACACTAAGAAACAGTACAGGACTGCAGTAGTGTTTTCTGATACATGTGTTTTCTACTAGATTTGATTTGATTTTGGATTGTAAAGACTCATAAGAAATTCTCTGATCTCTAAGAGGTTGAGTACTGACCCCACCTTGGGATGTCACTATGACCCAGCGGATGGGGCCATCAAAGTTCTGCTCACCTTACACCACCAAAAGAATCGAGGAACTTGTCCCCTGCTATCTCCTGGGGTGTTGTCTGTGGCCACAGGTGCCCGGACTGCCTACCTTTCCTGTACACAGAGCACTGGGCTTCAGCAAGTGAGGTGGCAAACTTTCCAGCCCTTGACTGGCCTTTCTTAGCCCTCTGGGAATGTCATACTGAGATTGGTTGGAGGAACCCTCTCCTAACCTTGGCCACTTTAGGTGCCCAGGCCCTGTGTGTCAGAGGTTATTTTGTACTGTCCATGTCTTTCCTTCTGCATTCGGCCTGGCCGTGAGATCTGAACCAGGTGTATTCTGGTTGCTGAGTGACTCTCCTGGGGACCTGAACAGTGAAAGCAGACGAGAGTCAGAGCAGGGACTTTGTGGTACCAGACTGGGGTCCAAGCAGGATGCCAGAGTGGGATACTCTGGATTGTCTGGACCAGTGTTCCTGTCCCTGCTGGGCATTTCAGTCTCACTCCTCTAGCCTTCCTCTACTGACATTCCCTTTCACTCCATTGCTATTTTCCTTTCTATGTCATTGCTTCACCAGTTTCCATTCCCCAAAGACCAGAGCTCCTAGAGACACATGACAACTTCTCCTGTCTTCTACTTTGAAGCTCAAAGGAGCTCAAAAGCTGCTTCTGCTATGTCCTCCCCAGAGGGATTAAGAAAACTTCTGGGTCAGAACCAACCCAACGCAGGGCCAGCCCTTCAGCACAGGACATACCTCCCTCCTCTTCTCTTGGGACCGGACAGGATGTTCATTTTGTCTCAGAGGACTTTGATACTGCAAGGTTTAATGATGAATTTCTGCCACACTCCATTTTTGCTCTGTTGTAGCTCCCAGTAACTGACAGGGTCAGAGCTCTTTAAAGCTTCTTCAGGAGGCGGTTGCCACGGAGACTGGAAATTGGTCTCAGGGACAAGCTGTGCTACCTATTGAGTGGTGGGGAGGGAAGCTTCAGGGCCGTACTTGGACCATTCAGACCAAGCATCATTAATGTTAATAGAGGAAATGCAGCCACGTGAAAAGCAGGCAATGTTGTTAATTAGATTTGGGGCCCATGACCTCCCTGTCCCGTGCTACAGCCCTTCTGACTTCCCTCAGCAGGAAGTACCAGCTGTGTCCTGAGTCTGGGCTGCCTGCTTAATTGCATTTCTGGTGGGGATGGACAGCAGGAATTGCCCTTCCCCCCAGGCAGAGCTGTTTTTTTCTGAGCTGAGTGAGGTCACCATGTGGATGGGCTTTCATAGGGGGATGCGATGCAGAAATCTGTCAGGCTCTTAGCAAAGACAGTGGTCCACCAGGACATCCCTGAGGTGGCTGATTTCCTTCATGCCTTCTCATTTCCCGAGAAGAACCTGTTGGCAAGGGGGAGCACTGAGGGAGTTGGCGGGGGCAGCCTCTAAGCAGTGAGGAAGGAGAGGGCCAGTTCCCAGCCACACTTCCCTCCTGATTTACCCACCTGGAAACAAGTGTTTCTTCCACTGCTTTTTAAGAATGAAAGAGAGAGGGGCCTGCCCCTTAGCTCAGTTCTTTAAGTGGCTGCTTCAACAAAGCAGTCAGGCTAAGGTTGCTGTGGTTCTATCCCCACAACTCAAGCCAGCCAAACCTGCCCTGAAGGCATTCAGAGCAAAAAAAAAAAGAGAACTTCCTTATCCACGCCTTCCTCTTTCATGCCCAAGCTGGCAGATGCTTTTCAGGGGGCAAGGCCATGTGGGGTGATGCAGCTCTGTGCCCTCACTTTCTGTCATGTGAAGGTGCTCAGGGAAGAAGTTGGTGGGTTACTGCTTTGAATATGGACTGTGGCCTTCAGGATAGTGACATGTCCTATAGACTGTCAAATATATGACATGTCCTATAGACTGCTGAGGGAGGAAAGTGGCATCACAGACTCCAGCCAGCACCTTGAACTACATTTTATTAAAAAAAAAAAAAAGGTTTCCAGAAAAAATCAGAGATCAATTACTTTTGTAATAAATAGCTCTTGTTTTGAATCTCTGTTCTTGTACTTAATTGAACCTGCCTTGCCTCTGCTCCCAGAGAGGCTTCCTTTAGAAGAGAAGAATGCATGGAAGCGGGCACCCTTCCATCAGACCCCATGGCCAAGGCCATTCTGATTGCAGCAGAAGCCCTGCTGGGCAGGTGAGCCTGATGCCAGGACAGGGCGTTGGGCCTTCCCACATAGTCTTGATGTATTTTAGGGAAGGGTCTATAGGGTGTTCAGGGTCTCACTACTAGCTGGGACTTTTAGTGATCCACCTGTTTACAACCTCTCAAGAGCTGGGATTACAGGTGCAAGCCACTGTGCTCAGTCTCAAGTGCCTTCTCAGCGCACCCCAGGGGCAGGGCTGGCACAGCAGGCCCAGGGATCGAGCCCCTGGCCCCTGCGCCTGCTTGCAGGTGCTTTAATCCGCTGAGCTATTTGGCCGGCCCCCATGTAGTCACTATGGCTGTTTCCGTTTACTTACTCTAAACTCAGTGGGATATGGACTTCACCTTCTTTCTTTTGTAACCTATGCATATATAGGAAGCAAGGGAGCCATTTCGTTCACTTCTGCGATAGCTGAGGGGCCCAGCACTGTGGCATTGGGCCATTCTGCTTAGCGGAGGCCCCGTTCTGACAGGGTCCCTGTCATCAGGCATGGCCTGGGAAATCTGAGGGCAGTGAGTGGGGCAGGAGGGAACTGGCAGTATACTGTGAAGTTGGGGCCAGTGGTGACTGGAGGCAGGCTGGGTGGCACACAAAGCCTCAGGAACTGATCAGATAGTCCTCTCTGAATACATGGCCCCATTGTAGAGTGCCAGCACATTGTGACACTTCATGCTCATAAAGGCCAGGTAAAGTTAGTGATATTTTTGTTGTATCTGCCAAGGAGCAAATTACTTAGGGTCTCACAATTTGGGAATGATAGAGGCAGGACTCAGCCCCAGGCGGGCGTTTGCATCTCCTACCTGGTCGTGGAACGAGAAGCCCCTCCTAGAGCACCTGGCGACTGTGGACACCGAGGGGAGTGCCCTGCCTCAGCCTGCTGCGCACCCTGCATCGAGCTCAATGCAGTGTTACCTGGTTCCTCACCAGCACACCCAGACTGGTGACCATAGGTATCTTAACAGCAGGTTTTCTGTGAGTAGAAAATTAATATAACAAAAACTCAAGTGTTTGAGTTTTGGTAGAAATGAAAAAAATCTAGTTATGTTTAAAAGGACAGAAAGATTAAGTTACTTGATCAGTTCAGACTACAACTGAAAACCAATTATGATGTTTAATAATGTATAGTATAGTAAACACAATAATTACACCCTATAACTGGATAAAATGCTGAAGTGTATCTATAACTACTGAGTTCCATAGACACTTAGCACACAATTTCCCTCATAATGACATCAGTGTCACTTGATGTTCCAGTAATGTGCACTTTATTTTATGGTAGTGGGAATAAAATGGCTGAGAAGACAGAAACACTTACGTAGCAGCTCGATATATAGCATTTGGCAGCTTCTCCATGGCCTATTTCAGGCTACCAGCTTGAAACTGATGACACTTGGGAGAGTTGACGGGTACAGTTGGGACCTTGGCTTGGCCTAAACTGTGGACACAGCTCATGGTCATGGCCATTGAAGTGAGGGAAAGCAGTGTGGTGGTGAATGCCTACAGTGCCAGCCCTTGAGGCTGAGGCAGGATCACTGTGAGCCTGAGGTTAGCCTGAGCTACACAGTGTGTTCAAGGCCACCCTAAACCACGTAGAACTTGTTTCCCAAAAAAAACCCTGAATACAGTGAGGGAGGCAGTAGAGAGCATGAGTCAGGGTCAAACCTGGGTTTAAGTGCTGGCCCACTGCTTAGTAACTGTGACCCTTGATCCAGTTACTTAAGTTCTCTGCCTCTTTCCTCAACTATCAGGTGAGGGTATAACAGCCTGTACTTCTTAGAGCTATTGTGAGGATGCAGAAAGCTAGTGGACATGTGTCAGAATGCAAGTGCCCCACCAGTGCTGGCTCTGTTGTCACTAATGATGTGTTGACCTGAGAGCAGAACTGTCTTGAGGACAGCACGGACCTCTGTTCTACCCATGTGAACACCTCCTGCACACCCCAGAGGATGAGCTTTTGTGATAGCCCCAGCCCATAGACCCACGGTCAGTTGGTTGTGACACAGACTGCACCTGATCCTGAAGCCTTTCTCTAAGGAGACTCAGGGTCAGAGTGCCCATAGCCCTCTCCTGCCTTCTGACTTTAGGAAGGCAGAGGGAAGCTATGGGCTTGAATCTAACTTTACTGTTCCACAGCTATGGCCATTACCCCCATGAATTCATCAGACCACTAGCCCTGGCCAAGAAGTGCCTGAGTATGTACTGTTGCCTTCTCCCTTTGGGCCCCATCCCTTTGTGTTTTTGCTTGGGGACCTCTCAGACTCTAGCATACAGGTTTGCCAGACTCCCCAAAGTCCCGGTGTCCTGCTCCAGCCCAGGGACTCATACATGGGGAGTTGTAGGAGAGTGAGAGAGAATATGCCCAGACTCAGTCTTGTAAGAGGCAAAACATCCAGATGGTTTTATGAGACTTTGCCAGAAGCAGGACTGGGCAGTGCCGTGAGTGTCAAGAGTGGTAGAAGGGAGGGACGTAGCACAGGGCTGGCCAGGGGCCGCAGACTGTTCATACCATTGTGGACCAGTGACATTACCTTGTGTCACTAAAGATGGTAGACTGAAAGGTCTTTAGCAGGAAACCTTACTAAACTCCTTTTTGGTACAGTGAGAAACTGAGAGCACATAGATATGGGCATCTTGAGAGGGGTTCAGAGGCTTGAAAATAAATGCAGGTGACATGGGGGTTTCTTCTCCAAAATCTGAGCCTCTGAAACCCTACGGGATCAAAGGAACTTCCATGCTAGAAAGAGAATTGTAGTTGTTATTGACAAGTGGCCAGTACCACACCTTACATGGTAGCCGTGAGTCTTAACTTCTATTTTAAAAAGTAAATAGTACTTAAAAAAAAACAAAAAACAAGATTTTTATTAAATCAAGAGCTAATGGAATAACAGAGCCTGACTCCCTGGGAAGGCAGTGCAGCCCTCACCTGTAGCCCTCAGGATTCCATGCAGGCCAAGCAGGGATGGGCTTGGAGCTGGAGCTCACAGATTTTGAAACCCGGGTCTCAGGAAAGCCCACCTCGAGGTAGGAAAGGCCCTGTTGCCCCCAAGTCTGCAGATGCCCCAGTTAGACCCAGAACTTGGGCAGACCCTCTCTCTACCACCGCCCTTCTGCCTGCTCCACAGAGAGGTGACCTGAGGTCCGCTGACTGGCCTTGCTGTGGAAGGAAACAGCAGCCAGGCCCAGAGGGTGGCAGTCAGAAGCCTCCACGCAATGTTTGAGTGGGGCAGTCCAGTTCAGCACTGTACCCCTGTGCGCCTGACCCTTCTAAGAAGTAGTAATATCACTACTTTCCAAGAAACTGGTGAGAAACCAAGAACAGAGAGGCTGGATGATTTCTCCGGACCTCTGAAAGCTGGGTATTTCCCAGGCCTCCGGGTCACCCCTGGCCCAGGCGGTAGCAGAGACAGCGCGTGCCTTGCTGGACGGGAGGGGGCGAGAGCCACGGTTGCTTTAAAGGGCGGCTCTCGGCTGCGGGGAGCCGGGCGCAGCAGCCGGAGCAGGGTCTCCAGAAGCGGCCGCGGGGCTGGCACAGGGGAGCTGCCTCCACCGCAGCCAGTGGCGCGCATCTTCTCTCAGCTCCGGCCAGCAAGGAGCAGCTGCTGGGCCTTGCCCAGCAGAGGCACGGGGGCCATAGGGGGTGCAGAGGGTCCCGAGCCCCCGCGGAGATGGCGCTGCACATGCGATGACAGCGCCCACACCCCGGGGGTCCCAGCCCTGCGTCCCGCATGCCCGGGAAAACATGGAGCGCCCAGAGCCCGAGCTGATCCGGCAAAGCTGGCGGGCAGTGAGCCGCAGCCCGCTGGAGCACGGCACCGTCCTGTTCGCCAGGTAAGGGCTGCCAGAGCGCCCCGGGGATGGTGCGGGTGGAGGGCGCCTAGCCAGGACCCGGTTGAGGCGGCCGCACTGACACAGGAGGAGGGAAACCTGGCCGCCGCTGTGGCGCAGGGGCGACCGCCAGATGTGCGCGGACCGTGGCGCAGCCCTTTTGCTGCTCTCCCGGCCGTGGGCGCACCTCAAGATCCAGCGCTGCACGACCCGCTCCGGACTGGGCCCCAGGAGCTCCCCAGTGGACTTCGTTATCCCTGGGGATAGGACACTGGTCGCGCAGCGCATTCCTTCTTGGCCCTGTGGTTCTTTGTGTACTTTGGCGGCGGCTTGGGGGCTGCCCAATGGTAGGGCTAGGGAGATAGCTCAGCAGCATAAGCACCTGCCTGGCAAGTGCAAAGTCCTGAGTTTGCTTCCTGATTTAAAAAAAAAAAGAAAAGAAAGAAAGAAAGAAAGAAAGAAAGAAAGAAAGAAAGAAAGAAAGAAAGAAAGAAAGAAATTCCGGGAGGCTGAAGCCTGTGCAGGGCACTCCAGGACCAGAGAACTACAAGGGAAGGCACAACAGTCGCCCGTGTCTCCCCTGAAGAGGCGACTGTCATGCTTTTCCTTCGTGGTAAGAGCAGGCCTGGGGTTCTCTCTGTAACTCTACTGTTTTTATCAACAGGCAACACCCCTGTCCTCCCTCAGCCAGCCCCAAACTTCTAACTAGGCTTTTACAAAACCTCCAGAAGACAATCATACGAAACAGTCAGAATCACACAAAAACATGAGCCCTTCCCAGTGGGCCTGACAGCTTCTAGAAGGCTGTGCTGCTTGGCTCTTCCTAAACTCACCTTTTCCCTCAGGCATCTGCGTGCTGTGGGCCCTCTCCTTTCACCTGCGAGAACTTAGGCCAGTTGCTAAGCCTGAGTTTCCTTTCCTCTTGTGGTAAAATTGGGATAACTATTGTACCAACTGCTTGGCAAACATGCACAAGTTAACCACATGAGAAGTACTGGGGGGCCATGGATATGGCTCAGTGGAGTAAGCGCTTGCCCGGCAAGTGCAAGGGCCTGAAGGAGAGAGAAGTGCTGGGAAGTATAAAGAGGTGCTTGTTTGGGTTTGTTGGTTTGTTTGTTTTCAGTATTGATGATTGAACCCAGGGCCTTTAGATTGAGCTACATCCTCAGTACTTTGATAATTTTTTTTTAATAGTTTTTTTTTAAAGTTATTTATTTATTTTTATTTATTACATTTATTTATTGTGTGTGTGTGTGTGTGGCCAGCTCAGCCCACCAGGGGGCAGGGCTGGCTGGCATGTGGTGCTGGGGGATCGAACCGTGGCCCCTGTGCTTTGCCAAGCTTGTTTCAAGTAGGTGCCTTAGACCACTGAGCCATCTCTCCAGCCCGATAATTTTTTTTAAGGCAAGCTTTCACCAAGTCTAATTGCTCATACTTGAATTTTTTATCCTCTTACATCAGCCTCCCATAGTACCAGAATTGCAGGCTTGTACCACTATGGCCAGCAGGATTCTTTCTTCTTTTTTTTTTTTTCCCCCATAATTTTATTGATAAACAAATAGTAATGAGACAGTTTCAAATCAAAGTGATAGGACAGTTTCAATAATTCACACATTGAGGATTCATTCTTCTTAACATCACTGTCAGAAGCCTCCTCTGAGTGGATGAGACTGACAAGCTCTTTTTTTTTTCTTTTTTAATGTGTTTGATACAGGGTCTCACTACACAGCTAGAACTCATAGTGATCCTCCTGTTTTCAGCCTCCCCAGCATTGGGATTACAGGTGTGTGCCACCACACCTGGACTTGGTGGCCCCTGACTTGATGACCCCGGACTCGGTGACCAGCTCATAGGGGCCAGGGAGATGGCTCAGTAGAATAAATGCTTGCCCGGCAAGCACAAGGGCCTGAGTTCAATCCCTGGTTAAAAAAAAAAAAAAAGTGTCTCAGTGACCAGCTCAATGCACCTGAGGGTGGGGCCAGTATGTTACATGGTGCCGGGAATCAAACACTGGTCCCTGTGCTTGTCTAAGCAGGTGCTTAGTCCACTGAACTATCTCTCTGGCCCAATACTGACAAATTCTGACCTAAGGGGAAAAGACAGGGCTTGCCCCTCTCCCAGTATAACTCCAGGTTTCCTGCTCAAAGATTCCTGCCTGTCCCAAATCATACCTCTCAAGTACTTAGGAAGGGATACTGTGTGCCAGGTACTGCAAGAGACTGAGGACACAGCTTTCTCAGAACCTGGGAAGAGGTGAGGAGGGCACTGGCAAAGCCAGCAGTGCTGGGGTGAGTGTATGCATGGTTTACGGCTGCAGCTAGGGTCTGTGTGCGCTTTCTGTTCCAAGCCCCCAAATCTAGCTGACATCTGTGCCCCGTTGCACAGGCTATTTGCCCTGGAGCCCGGCCTGCTGCCCCTCTTCCAGTACAACGGCTGCCAGTTCTCCAGCCCCGAAGACTGCCTTTCCTCTCCAGAGTTTCTGGACCATATCAGGAAGGTGAGATGGGGGACTGCGTGACCCCTGAGATCCAGCAAAGAGGAGGGATGAGGCATAGGAAAAGGACTTCTGCCTCAGGCCTGGTGGCACATTCCCTTGCTCCTCCTCAGGTGGGAACATCCCTCCTTTCCCTCTGAGACACCAGAGCCCCTGGGCTGTCTTCAGCCCCCATCATTGCCTTTGGCCTTGCCCTCACTCCCATGGGTTGTATTAACATTATCCTGGTTCCTGGGGCACCTGCCTATGACAACAGGCTGGGGTTCTGTGAGAGGTTTATGACCCTCCTCATCTGCCCAGCAGGTGTGTTGAGGGTGTTGGGGCAATAATTGAGTGGCTACTGTATGCAGTCACAGGCTGGTTTTCACCCTGATCCTGGAAGACTGGGGAGGGTTTTACAGGGCTCTCTTCCCTCTAGTCGGTCCCTCAGGTTTTTAGCTGAGCATGTGAGCAGAGAAGGTGGCCCTGGCCTCTCTGTCACTGCTTCCTCGGCCTTGGCAGGTGATGCTTGTGATCGACGCTGCGGTGACCAATGTGGAGGACCTGTCCTCGCTGGAGGAGTACCTCGCTGGCTTGGGCAAGAAGCACCGGGCAGTGGGTGTGAAGCTCAGCTCCTTCTCGGTGGGTAATACACCTCTTTGTTTCTCTACAGCCCCAGCCTGGACATTTCACTTCTCCCATATCTCCCTTGTCTACCTGTTCTCTGTCCCCATCACCAGAGGTTTGCATCTATGACTATGTGACTCTGGCACTGACTTGACCTCTCCAAGGCTCCAAGTTCTTTCCTCTGTATAGTGTCTTTTAGACCGTAAAAGTGTAGGAGCCTTTGGAATTAACTGGTCTGCTTAGCTTTCTAAGGCTGCCATCATACCACTCCCAAAATATACTGGTTTAAAATGACCAGTGCTGATTTTTCATGGCTGGGCTCAGCAGGACAGCTCTTCTGCTCCATATGGCAAAAGTAGTAACCCATGTGTTGTGTCCACCTAGGAGCACAGCTGTGGCTGGCATGTCTATCCCTATGACTTCTTACTATGCAGCAGCCTGGCCAAGCATCTTCCCAGGGCAACTGAGTCCTAAGAGGCAACCCCAGTATACATGTGCTCAGAGAACCTCTGCCTGCATCATTCCTGTCAACGTCCCACCCACTAGGGCCAGTCATATGGATGAACCTAGTGCTGAGGTGGGAGGATCTACTCATGAATCCTCGAGGCATAGTTCACTGGGTCTGATGTGACATTCTGCCTAGTAGCCCAACTACCTTATCACATAGGAAGCATCTGGAAAAGGGATGATGTTAGTTTCTCCCAGAACTAGCACAGTGCCTAATCTTTAGGGAATATTCAGTAAATATTTGTGGCTGACATAAACTTTATTTTTTTTTCTTTTCAAAGTTTTATTGATAAACATATAGCAATGAGACAGTTTCAAATCAAATTGAAAGTACAGTTTCAACAAATGATACACTGCATATATTCTTCTTAGGGGTTAATTGCTGTACAAGATACAGACTTGTGATCCTACTTACCATTAGAAAAAATCATTCTATTCATTAAGAGAATGCAACTATATATCTATCCCAACCACATAAACTTTATTTTATTCACTTAATAAACAGATAAGAGCCAGGTGTGGTGGCACATGCCTGTAATCCCAGCATTCAGGAGGCTGAGGCAGGAGGATCACTGTGAGTTCGATTTAAGACCACCCTGAATTGCAGAGACTATTTCAATCAATCAGTCAGTCAATCAACCAATCAATAAAAAGAAAACAAGCAACCACCACCACCAACAACAACAACAACAAAAAAAAAAAACCCCTAACCAACCAACCAAAACAAATGAGAGCATCATCCTTGAAGGGTCAGTGTATGCAGATACTATGCTGAGGCCTTTTTAAAGATTATGCCATTGAATGTCCCAGTAAACCCAGGATTTGGAACTTTTACTCTCCCTGTTTCTTTAATGAGTCTCAGAGAGGTTAAATAACTTGTTCAAGGGTACCCAGTTCTTAAGTGGTGGTCAGAATCTGAAGTCAGGACTAGAGCCCGACTCTTAATTCTATGATTGCTGCATCAAAAGTGAGGAAACCAAGGCCCAGCGATAAGGACATGGTCTGGTCTTAGCTCTGAGCAGCAGTTACGGAGCTGGGTGTTGGGCACAATGCTCTGTCCACTGTAGAGCCTCACACGTGTGGAAGGCAGCGGCACAGGTGGTATCCACGGATGATCAGGCACCCCTTCCCTCCGCAGACGGTGGGCGAGTCACTGCTGTACATGCTGGAGAGGTGCCTGGGCCCCTCCTTCACACCAGCCACACGGGCCGCCTGGAGCCAGCTGTACGGGGCCGTGGTGCAGGCCATGAGTCGAGGCTGGGACGGCGAGTAAGAGATGACCCCTGCCCGGCAGCCCCCAGCTGTCTGTGTCTGTCTGTCTGCCTGTGTCCTATGTAGCCCGGGTTCCCATAGGCCTCTGCATCTTGTCCCCTGGTCTTTCTGGAGAGGCAATACAGCAGAGCTAGGTCTCACCTCCTCCCACCCCAGGACTGCAGAAGGAACTTCTGGGTGCCCTCATCCCCACAGCTTTTTTCCTGCCTGCCTTTGTACCTCACTGCCATCCCCAGTGCCCACAAAGAGGCACAGGTGGCATGGTACTGTAAAGGGGGTGTTTGAGAGTATAGGCTCTTTTCAGGTGAGCTGGGTCAAGGTGGGGGAAGGTGGCTGCAGGCTCAGGAGCTGAGGCCTTGTCATTCAGAGCTTCTTGTGAGAGCTCCTCAAATTGCTCTATGGGACCCCAGCAGTCAGGCTGGAGGGAGGCACCTCATCCCAGAGAGACCTAAGGCCCAGGCTCTTGCTTACCTCCCCACCCCACAGAGCTGAATCTCACCTCTGCACCCCTTCTGCTCCCTGCTCAGGCTGGGGGCCCACAGCTTTTGTCTGTTACCCATGCATGCCCTTCCTTGGGCAGACGGGCAGGTGAGAAAGCAGTCAGAAAGGCCCTCTGCCCACTCCCTGCACCAGTTCTGTAAACTCACAAGGAATAAACCTGGTTTCTGTGCTGCTCTGCCTGTCCAGGGCTGGTCTCTTGTTCGGTCTTGGTCTGTGCCAGAGGAACTACAGGACAGTGTGTCCCAGGGCAGGATGGAACATAGGATTAGTGAGCCACGGCTGGAGCGGGTGGGGAAGAGGGCAACAGCCTAGGGAGGCCGGAAGGCAGTGGTGGAGGCAGAGCTAAGAGGCTGGGCCCCAAGCTAGACCGAAGCCCACCAAACCAAGTTCCCTTTCTTTCTTGTCACACAGCTGGACAATGCTGCCCAGCTTTCCTTACAATTAGGTGGAATGGGACAATTCTGCCCAGGGGAGTGTGTGACTGTGTGTGCCATTTCCAGGCCTGCCCGGGCCACCCACTCCCCAAGCTCCCACACACTTCTCATGCTCTGCCATTCATTGCTGGCTTGATGCAGACTTCACTGTGACCTAGAGGTTCGTGTGCTGAATATGACAGAGCCATAGGACTAAAGGAGCCCATCCTAGAGCTGCTGCTTGGAGGAGGCTGCCTATGTCTCAGGATCACCCTTCACATTTCCCTCACCTTTGCGCCTTTCTGCACTTTGGGGTTGGGCAGCTACCACACGTGGCCATTCTAATCAGTGGTGTGCAGCCATCCAGGAGGCAGACCTTCGGGAGCCCACGGGTTGGTGCACCAGCGAGCATCACCCAAGCAGGCTCAGGCCAGTGCCCATGTGGTCAAGCTGCCCAGGCAAGGCCTGGGCTGGAATCACTGGAGGGACTGCCCTGCACCGGGCTAGCTGCTCCCTGAGCATCTATTTTTCATTCCAAATAGGTTGTATGGTTTGGTTGCACAGGGCCTTGCTAGCACCTAGCTGGAGTATGGTTTCTTTCTAGCTCAGATGGCCGGCCAGTAGGCTGTGACCCCAGACCCTGGGTCTGCCGTGTGTTAGGCATGCTGCCTGTACTCTAGGGCTCCAGGCTGTAGGGAGACAGGCCCTTTTCTGTCCACCATGTGACCATAACAATTCATTCTCAGGTGTCTATGCCTGGGCTAGAGCTCCTGAGTGTTCCACACCCTCTCAGGCAACCAGGGTGACCTGGCTTTGTAAAGGTCAAATATCACCTCTGACCTGGGTCCTGAGCTACCCTGTGCCTTCACCTCCCCAAAAGCCACCATATCACTTCATTCCACAGGTCCACATCTCCCTCTTAGAAACAGGATGACTCTCCCCTCCCTCTATAGCTACCACTGTCTTCATTTCCTCACTTCCTAGGAGGGAATAGGATCCTATTTTAACTGGGCTTTGTCCCTGATGTGCCGTGGCCAAGGTTACCAATGATCTCCACCTTGCCAAATGTAGGAGTCACGTCTTAGTGCTCACCCTGAAAGAGGGGATCAATCCTTTATTTTTAAATGTCTTATTATGGAAAAAGACTAATGTATGCAAAAATCCAGAGACAAATGAATTTTCAGGTGTTCCACCCAGCATCGACAAAAAACCACTCATGATTCCCCTCCCCTGCTTTTTTTTTTTTTTTTTTTTTT